GACTCTCCGGCCTTGGCCAGGAAGACCAGCGCCTGGTTGAGTGCCGCCTCGTCCACCGCCAGCAGCTCCTGCACGGCGTCCACTCCCATGTAATAGTAGACCTGGTGTGGGGAGGGGGGTGGCGCGGGCTGAGGCTCCAAGTCGCCACCCCTGTCGTTAGTCCCCAAGCCTGCATTCATGCAGCCACCCCCTCCTCTGTGCAGGATTAACTGTACATCGTGTTTCTGGACGCTGGAAAGAGACAGTACTGGTATTTGAGGTCCAGCGCCTCCACTCCTAGACATATAACCTCCAGGGGGTCTACTTCCGCCCCTCAGTGACCTAATACCTAAATTAGATATTACCACCCACCCCCACCCCCAGCACAGGTGGCACTTCTGGATAGAATACAGCTCTTTAGGACCAGGGATTTAGCTCAGTGGCACTGCATCTGCCTTGCAAGCACAAGGTCCTGAGTACAATCTCCCGTACCCCGCCAAAAAAAGAATACAGCTCTTTACTTACCAAGTGCTCAGAGCACCTGGCCTCCTCTACTCCTCCACACATTGCTGCATTTCCTTCCCCCCAGAGGCTGGGGGAGCTGCACCCCATTCCTGTCAGGGCCTTCGATGCCCCACCTCTGCCTGACAGGTCAATGCGTTCTTCGTGAGCCCTCTGACAGCCAGGCCGCTCAGCTGCTTACCTGGCCAATGTCCAGGTAGGTCCTGAGGCCCGGGCACACCCTGACCACTCGCTCAAGATCAGCCTTGGCTTGGGCCAGGTGGCCCCGATCGGGCATGCCTCCAAGCCCTGCCTTGGCCCGCTCCAGATCTCGCAGGTAGGCTGTGGTGTGGATCTGCTGCGACAGAGGGCCAGCTCAGGGAAGTTGCTCCAGGTGGGGCTGCCACCTCTGCCCTGCCCTAACCCAAGCCAATTTATTCCTCGGCAGCAAACAGGGACAGAGTGACACAACAGAAACCCTCACCTTCGTGGGTCTTGTACTTCAGTGGGAAGAGTGCCAGTGAACGCGACAGATAGGGAAACAGTACATGGGGGCTGACTGGTGTTAAGAATAACAGAAAAGGAAAGAACAAGAACAAAGTACTGGAAGGGAATTGCTGATATTGTCAGTGAGATGGACTCTAGAGGCTGCCTTGTTTTGGAGACAAAATCTTGCTTGCCTCAAATTTGCGATCTTCCTGCCTCCTGACCAGCTGGGATGACAAGCATATACCACAAGGCCTGGGTCAGAACTGCCAGTTTTGGTCAGCCCTGCAGGAAGTTAGAGAGGAGACGAATCGGAGATCTCTGGGAGAGGAACACTGTGGGCAGAGGCAGTGCTGGGAGAGAGAGACGTGGGCAGAGCTAGCGGGTGGAGTATCGTATGCGCATGCCTCCCTCCTCTATTCCTCCTCCTCCGACCATGCGAGGGGTGAGCCTGACCTTTGGAGCCACAGGGGAGAATAAGGCTAGGGTTCCTGCTCCCTGTGGAAGTTACAGATAGCATGGGTCTGGCTGCTTCAAGGGATTTTTGTGAAGGTTCTAGCAGACCATGCGTGAGAGGGAGGTTTTGGTGAAGTGCAGAGTTCCATAAGTGTTTTATGGTTTACTAGTATAATTAGTATTTTTATCATAACGATCACCAATCAGCGATAGTAAAGGAGTTTCCTGCCCTATACCTATTGGCAAAATAATCTGCTGAGACTAAGGACGGACCAGCTTTGCCACTAGGTTGTGCGAAAGGCAGTGGAGAAGACAGGGAAAGGCACGACGTGCTAGCTTGGAGCACAGTCAGCACGGAGCCCCAGGTCTGCCCCAGGCAGATGGGCTCCATGGGGCTCCAGGCAGATCCTGGCGGGCAGGGCAGGAGGGAGGCAGTGCTCTCCTGAGTGTGTAACTCAGGGCAGGGCCGAGTGGCTGTAGCCAGCAGTTCATCAGCTAAAGATTTACCTGGTAACAGCCATCAGCCGCCTACAAATTCTCAGGGTGTACGTGATGCTGGGTTTTACACACACAACCCCACAACTCTCCTGAAAACTCCCAAGGGAGGGACACTCACTCCAGACCACAGATAAAGAAACAGAGGCTCTGACTTTGGGCGAGAGCACTTTGGCAAGGTCCCCTAACACATGAGTGGTGGCGTGGGGTTTGGACAGAGGCTGCCTGGGGGAGGCCAGAGCTCGGTGCACGACATTAATGCGCTGTGTGTGCAGTGCTGCATGTCCCTCCCATGCCTAGGCGCTGACTTCAGTGTGACCTCAGGAAGCCTCTGACACCACCTAAGGTAGCTGCGATTAGCCACGTCTTAGATTGGGGAAATGAGGTTCGGAGGGGTAGGTGGCCTGCAACAGGTTTCCAGCAATGGGTAGAGAAGCCAGATCTCAACTTTGGTCAATCTGACTCCACGGGGCTAAGCCAGAATCTCCTGGTGGCTCCGGCCAGGCGCTGAGTTAGAGACCCCTACAGTGGGAACGGCGCCTGCATCTCTGCGCGCCTGGATGAGCCCTCTGCTCCCTCCCACCAGGAAGGCTCCGGGGTCTCTGGGCTCTGGGGTCCGGGTCTTGGCCCTGGTCTTTGGTCTCGGGATCGGGGTGCTGCAGGGAGACCCACCTTGGCCCTTGTGCAGTATGCCTGCCAGTTGAGCTCTGGGTCTCCTAGGACATCCAGGGCCATGTTACAGGTTCCAATGGCCATGTCTTGCTTTCCTAGGAAGTGGAAGATTTTGGCCAGGCGATTGAGGATGGGAGGTTGGTCCTTGGCAATCTCGATGGCCTGGGTAAGTAAGGAAAGGGGTGAGAATGTGCTTTGTGTCTGCTGACTCGCACGATGGCACCCAGTGCCTTGGGGCGAACCCCCTGGCACCACCGTGGTCACAGTCATGCCCAGCAGACCTTTCTAGGGCCCGTGACCCTCCCGTCAGTTATGCCCCCAGCTCCGTCTGGGTCAGGTGAGGGAAGGACCTACCTCTTCCAGGCTCATAGGGCTTCCAGCAGGGCTGCTGTACTCCCTAGTGGGACCCATTGCTGCCTGTTCTAAGTGACTTGCCTTAGGGTCCCAGCTGTGGGCAGAGTGGGCAGTGAGGCCCCAGCTACACCCACCTTCGGTCCACTCTGACTTGGGTCCACTCAGGGGGCCGGCTGCTCACATGGGGAGGGTCTTGGTGTTAGGCAAAGAGGAAGTACCACAAGAAGAGCTTCCGACTGAGGAGGGGATGGAGACAGAGCCTCCGATCCTGGGCTGGCCGCATGGTGTGGGAGGACGCCAGTCTTCAGAGTGGGGGTGGCTGGGGACACATACCTTGCCAAAGCAGTCCAGGGGGTCAGTCCCCGAGTACCCGCAGTCGTGGACGCCCATGGGGGTGGTGGAGAAGGTGTCCTTCCTCTCCAGCAGCATCCCGAGGTAGCACCAGGCCAGAGCTGGGAGAGGAGGAGCCGGAGGATGGCCGGGGCCAGCTCCACTCTCAGCATCAGCCCCCACGAGGACAAGGCAGGGACAGCAGCACGAAACCATGGATAACCCTGGAGGCCCTACCTCGCTGGCAGGCATCTGAGGACTTGAGGACTTGGCGGAGCAGAGCCAGCGTGCGGTTGAAGGCAGGCAGCCTCTTCCGCTCCTCACTGCCCAACTCCAGGAAGATACCGTCCAGCCTGCACCAGGACAGGGCCGTGGCCTCAGCCCCTCCTCACTCTGTCCCACCCCCTGCTCACAGGGCCACACCTGTGTCCCCTCCCCTGTCCCCGCCATGCCCAGCCTGACCTGATGAAGAGCGTTGCCATGGTGAAGTACCAGCCTCTTTTCTCCTCCGAGGGGACCTAGGGAAGCAGAGAGCAGCATTGTGCTGTTATGGAGGTGCTCTGGCCCTTGTTCAGCAGTGCCAGAGCTCTTCCTGAGCCCGAGAGGGAGCAGGGTTGGGAGCGAGGCTTTGGTCTCAGACACCCTGGCTACAGGCCCAGCTCCACCATTGTCTGGCTGGGCATGGCTGGGCAAGTTACTTAGCTTCTCTGACCATGGAGGATCCGATGTGAGCTGGGAGCCCCAGGTCTCAGGGAGCAGGTGTGGGACGCCTCTCCCCCGCTGCAGAGGCTCTGCTCCCCACCCGGGCCTCGTGCTCCATGGGCCTCCTTTGCTGTCCAGCACCACCACCTCTCTGCCCTTCCCGGGCAAGCCCCCCTGGGCACACTGAGTGAACCCAGCTCTGCTGAAGCCTGGGCCCCCTGAACCGTTTTCCCATTATTATTCTTGCCAACCTTGCTGTGCATTTAGACCAACTTGGGTAGCAGATAAAATATTTATGCTGTTATTTATGGAAGTAGCTACTCCTGCCTCGGGAAGGAATTTTAATGAAAACCAATAAAACCCCCAGTGCATATCGACAGCTCTGCCTGGGGCTCCAGCCCTTCCCTGCACCCTCATCTCTGGGGGATCTGCTGCATGCCCTGCCCCCTCTGGACCCCCTCACCGCTCCACCCACCCCTGCAGCAAGCAGCTCAGCCAGTTCCTGAGCCCCTCTGTACATGGCCCTGGGGGTGGCTGAGAATGAGGCTTTGAGAGGAGCTTGCCAGTCGCTGGGGAAAACAGACCCAGGCATCAGTCCCTCCACTTGATGTGTGCTGCACACCCATCGCCTTGACCTCACAACAGACTGAACAGATGGAGCCCAAGGCAGAGTCCCCTGAGTCCAGGTGACTTGCCCGGGGTCACCCAGCTTGAGTATGAGCAGGAATTGAATACTGTTTGGCTCCTTAGCTTGCGTGCGCTTCATTACACCCGGCTGCCAAGAACTGCAGGAGGAGGCAAAGTCTGCTCAAGGTCACAGGAGGGAAGCCCACCCAGAGTCCGCAGGATGGACGGGCCAGTCCCAGCCAGGGGGGTCGGTTTCAGGTGGATCCTGAGCAAGCAGTGGCACTTCAGAGGCTGGGCTAGGGACCAGGGCATCCCAGGTAGAGGTTTGGCAGGAGCAGAGGCCTGGGGACGAGGGGACGGCTGCCTGGTGGGTATAGAGTGGTAATTTGTGAAAGGGGTTGGGGAGCTGACACTGGCCCGGGAGACCCTGGGTGGACTCGGAGGGAGGGGCCTTGTGTGACAGATCTACTGAGCGCTGCAGCTGCCCAAAAGGCCCTGCTGGCTGCATTTCGCCGCAGCCCTCCACCAACCCCGCCGTTCTCCAGTGTGGCCCTGAGCTGAGCAGTGAGGACAGGAGAGGGAAGGTAGGTCCCCTCTTGAAAGGCCGTGATCTGGCAGGAACGACAGATCCAAGACACACAGAAGAGCCATCTGGAAGTTCCCAATCTGGAAATTCTCCAAGGCTTCCCAGTGGAGGAGGCGTCAGAGCTGGGGCTGCCCAGCTGGACCTGGATCTATGGGACCCCTTCTGCCGGCCACACTGGCCAAAGACCGTGACATGATGTCGAGACCTGGGGTGCCTGAGCCTCCTGCTGTCAGTGACCCAACACTTCCTGCTGCAGCTTTGCGGCTGGCTACACAGTCACGGCGGGGAGGAGGAGGACCTCCGCCCACCCCTGCTCCTGACAAGGCAGAGGCCTCAGTGGGAGCAGGTGGAGTGCAGAGGTGGCGGCCCTGGGGACGAGGTATCCCTGAGCCCCAAAGAGGAGAGGCCAGGCTTTTGGGAGCTCTGAGTGCAGGGCCCGAGGTGGAGGGTGGAGCTGAGCAGGATCAGGGCTGCCCAGGCAGCTGCTTTGTCCACTGTGACTACTTCAGCACCCCAGGACACAGCGCGTCTCGCCTCACCCCAGTCCTGGCTCTCCAAGGCTGAAGGTCCCTGTGGGGCCCCAGGTGCCTTTCTTTCCCCACAAGTCCCTGTGCTGGAGCCATGTGCCATCTTCAGGGCTGCTGGTGCATAGCTGCCCCCTTGTTTGGTATTCAGCCCAGCAGAAACTAAGTTGTGTGACCAAAACACACAGTGCAGGGCAGCTGGGATTTAAGCTTGTGCCTCTGTGGTCCTTGTGGTGAGGTTCCTGGTCTACAACACAGTTATCAACCCCCAAATTATGTGACTGAAGACAATGAGACTAGACAGGTGACTTGCCCAACGTCTCTCATTGGGTTCAGGGCATCAGGGTTTACCTTTGGTCCTGCTACCTCTCTGTTCAGTGTCCGTATCCTTGAGTAGCAGAGCTGACTGCTTTTTCACTGATGGCAATAGCGCCACCTGGTGGCAGCATGCTAAATTGCGGGGGCAATTCCTAGGGTTTAACTTCACCTCAACTCAAAGACCAAGTTTGATTTTTTAAAAATGTGGTGGCACCTATAATCCCAGCACTCTGGGAAGCTGAGGCAGGAGGATGCCAAGTTTGAGCCAGCCTGAGAAACTTAGCAATTTAGTGAGATATTGTCTTTAAAAAAAGGGCTGGGGATGCAGCTCAGTGCAGAAGCCCTGGGTTCAGTCCTGGGTGCTGGGGGTGGGGGTGAAGGAGTAGCAGTGTCATCAGTGTGACAGGTTCTAAACCTGGTCGGCAGTTCCTCAGAGAGTGACGTCTGCAGTTGGGGCCAGCGTGTGTGAGGTGGAGTCAAACAGGATGAGCAGATGGATTTGGAGGCCTCAGCATGCTGGGTTTTAATCTTCCGTCCCTGCCTGACGTGAAGCTGGTGGAGGCTTTCACTGTGGGGGCAACCTGGCCTGAAAACAGGCTGTCTGTAAAAATCCTTCTAGTTCTCACAGAGGCAGCCGCTGAAGCTGTTACCTGGGGCAACCTGGCAAGTCCTGGAGCTTTGCCTTACACGGGCTTCTGCTGCCCTCCCTCCCTCCGGCCGGGAGAATGAAGTTGCCATGAAACCTGTACAGGCATGGAGCGCCTGGGTGCCACCGTGTGTGGGGCACAGAGGCCTGGGTGGAGGCTCACATCCCGGGGTCCGCTGCCCAGTCTGGGCAAGCTGCCCAGCACCTCCCCACCGTCGCTGTGGCCCAAATGTGGTCTTGGGTCTGGGTGCCAGCTGGCAGGAGGTCTGGGGGAGGGGCCCCGGACGAGGCCATGCTGACTTCCAGGGAAACCTGTAACCCGGGTCCTGGCTGCAGTGAGTGTGAGGGGCACATCCAGGAAGGGGCTCAGAGCAGCTCCCGGCTCTCTGAGGCCCTTGCCCTTCCCGTCCTCATTTCACAGACGGGGACACGGAGGGAGAAACAATCAGAAACTTGCCTGCTCAACCTGGCATTTCAGCCCAGGTCTGTTTAGCTTAAGCCCTTTCTTCCTATAACATCTAGAGCTGGTGTGTGTTCAGCGTGACCACTCACGTGGTCTGTTGTGATCTGCAAAGTGAGTGTCATTACCCTTTTGAAACAAATGGGGAAACTGAGGCACTATGAAGTCCTCAAAGACACTGGGACTGAAACCCGCGCATGGTGCTCTTGTTTCTATGCTAATAATAGCCATTAAAAAAATCTTTTTTTTTTGAGAAAAGGTCTCACTATGCAGTTCAGACTCCCTTTGAATTGGTGTGTTGCCCAGGTGACTTTGAACTCACAGCGATCCTCCTGCCTCAGCCTCCTGAGTCCTGGGATTACAGGTGTGTACCAACATGCCTGGCAATAATAGCAAATTTTATTGAGCACTTACTATACACTAGGTACATCATTTATAAGTGTTGACCTGCTAGACCCTCAAGGGCTACCTATGAGGTAGGGACTATTGTTATCTGATTTTACAGAGGAGGCAGCTCTGGTACCTATGGTCAGCTGGTTTCCAGAGTGACACAGGTAGAAGGAAACAGACCTTGAACCAGCAGTCTAGCTCCAGGGTCAGAGAACCTAGCTACCCCAGATTAGTGGTTCTCAAAGTGTGGGCCTCTACCACAGGCCTGGGCCTCGCCTGGGAATTTGATAGAAATGCAGATTCTTGACGGGCTGACTCACACTCTGAGGGTGGGGGCTCAGCAGGCTGCCTGATGACAGGCCCTGAGCTGAGGTTGCCACACGCTGGACCAGCAGGGAGAAGGGTAAGAAGAGGTAAGAAGGGGCTAGCAGCTGCCTCGCTTTTTAATGATTCAGAAAATCCAAAACTGCAGTGCTAGGGAACCCTGAAGATGGAGATGCTACTCCTGGGTGGGTAAGTGACAAAGGCTGGCACCCTGGCAGGAATTGTGAGACAGGCTAAGTCCTTCCAGAGCAGGTGCACGATGGCAGGGACATTGAAAGGTGGCCCCAGGAGAAGGGCTTCGGGAGGCCTGGCTTTTACCAACCTGGGGTTTGCACATCTATGTGCAGCTGAATGGGCTGTGGAGACACCTTGTTGGTTCTTTTTTTGGTACCGGGGATCAAACTCGGGTCCTTGTGCTTGTGAGGCAGGCGCCAGAACCACTGAGCTAAATCCCCGGCTCACCTTGTTGGTTCGTAGGGAAAGTATTTATTTGCCCTGCAGCCTGAACTTTGCCCTCATGGCTGCACCCTGCATTGTGGAGTGGGTTCCTGAGAGCTGACTAATTCTCTCCCAAC